TTTTTTTTTTTGAGTTGGAGTCACTCTGTCGCCCAGACTGGAGTGCAGTGGCCGCTCCCGGCCACCGCAGCCTCGACCTGCTGGGCTCCGGTAATCCTTCCGCCTCAGCCTTCCGAGTAGCCGGAATTACAGGCGCGCGCTACCATGCCCGGCTAACTTTTTGACTTATTGTAGAGATGAGGTCTCGCCAAGTTGCCCAGGCGGGTCTCGAACCTGCGGGCTTAGGCAATCCACTCACCTCAGCCTCCCAAGGCACGGGATTACAGGCTGAGCCACCGAGCCCAGCTTTACTGAAGTTTTATTGGGCTGATATCCAGCGGGCCAAAGCTCCAACCCTCTTCTCATGACTGGTCTTTCTGGTGTGGCTTACCCCATCCTGATTCCTCCATCTATCTAGGGGTGTACCATGAACTACCTCATTAGCATAAAATATCAGGGTCCACCATGAATAACAAAGAACTTCTATAACTTGGGAAAGGCCATACAGAGTTTTCCTCCTAGGAACCAAGCACAAAGATCAGTCAAGTTCTTTATTGTACAACATCTTTTTCTTTTCTTTTTTTTTGAATTGTAGTCTCACTGTCTGTCACCCAGGCCGGAGTGCAGTAGTACACTCATGGCCACTGCAGCCTTGACCTGTTGGGCTCAGGTGATCCTTCCACCTTAGCCTTCCAGGTAGCTGGAACCACAGGTACATGCTACTATGCCTTGCTAATTTTTTGATTTACTGTAGAGACGAGGTCTCGCCAAGTTGCCCAGGCTGGTCTCAAACACCTGGACTCAGGCAGTCCTCTCGCTTCCGCCTCCCCAAGTGCTGGAATTACAGGCACAAGCCACCGTGCCTGGCCTTGTACTTCATCTCTTAACTGGTCCCAATTGGTAAATAATCTGTTAAGCAACATCCACTGTAATCCACAATAAATTCTTATGGGTCAGGCCTTGTACAACTCAGTAGGAAGCTAAAGGTGAAAAGACAGGCATGATCCCTGCCCTCCTGATGTCAGTGAGGTGCCTGCAATGGCACCAGGAGCCATAGCAGCACAGGAAGAGCAGTTAATTCTGAAGATCTGAGGATGAGCTAGCCAGGGAAGTGGGGTAAGAAAGTTGTATGCAGAGAGTACAACATGTTCAAATGCCGAGAGGCATGAAAGAGTTTGACTCAGTCAAGGGACTGAGGAAAGTCCAAAGTGCCTAACACATAGAATATGATGGAAAAATGAGATATGGGGCTGGAAAGTTCATGGGAGGGGACTGGGTGACAGCTATAGAACAACTGCAGGCCCAGGCATGGTGGCTCACCCCTGTAATCCCAGCACTTTGGGAGACCAAGGCGGGAGGATCGTCTGCGGCCAGGAGTTTGAGATCAGCTGGGCAATACAGCGAGACCTCTTCTCTCTAAAAGATTTTTAAGAAAATAAGTAAAAAATAATAATAAATAACCTCATGGGCTGGGCATAGTGGCTCATACCTGTAATCCCAGAACCTTGGGAGGCCAAGAGTCTGAGGCCAGCCTGGGAAATATAGCAAGGCCTTGTTTTTACACAAAATTAAAAAACATAGTGAGACCGATTTCTTAAAAAATTAACCAGGCATTGTGGCACATACTTCTAGTACCAGCTACTCAGGAGGCTGAGGAGGATCATTTTGAATCCAGGAGGTTGAGGCTATAATGAGCCATGATCATACCACTGGACTCCAGCATGGGTAACAGAGCGAGACCCTGCCTCAAGAAAAAATAAATAGGCCGGGCTCAGTAACTCAGCTTGTAATCCCAGCACTTTGGACTGCCTGAGTCCACGGGTTTGAGACCAGTCTGAGGAACTTGGACCTCGTCTCTACAATAAATAAATAATAAAAATTAGCTGGGCATGGTAGCATGCGCCTATAGCTCCGGTTACTTGGAAGGCTGAGGTGGAAGGATCACTGGAGTCCAGCAGGTTGACGCTGGGGTGGCTGTGAGCATGCCACTGCACTTCAGCCTGGGCGATGGGGGTGAGACGCCAACTCAAAAAAATAATAAATAAATAAAAACATTATTCTGAGTAGGGGACCATGGGCTTCACTAAAATGCCAAAGGGGTCCATGTCAGAAAAAAAAAAGGTTAAAATCTCTGCTTAATAAAAATGTGTTACCTTAACTCTTTCTAAATGAATCCTTGACTTTCTCTTGGTGCCGTGAAAGGGAAGGACTCTAGGACTTTTGTCCCCAAAGTAAACAACTGCATCAACTGCATGCAGGGCATTGGATAAGGGGTACAGAACTAATCAGCTGCAGGCCTACTTCAACCAGTGGGGTGAGAGCTGGCCATATGCTCACACCCTCCTGAGAAAGTGGCTGCTGGCCATCTTGGTCTACTGAGATTTGTCCCATGATACCCATCATGGGGTCACAGCCAGCTGGACTAAGGATCTCACTTGTGTCTGGCTGGTGGCCTAAGAAGCGGCCAGGCAGGAGAGCCTGCCAAATCGATACTTTGGATTGAATGGCAATGAATTGATCTAATTACACCCTGTCTCTTGGAAAGTTGGAATCTGAACACATGAAGAGTCAGCATTTGGGAGGGCCAGGAGAAGTGATAGATACAAAGAAAGAGGTGAAAGGAGAAAGGGAAGTAGAGCCAAGAGTGGGAGTTTGCTAAGTGTGGCCTTCAATCCCATTCTCCCAGAGGAGGTCTGGCTCGGTACTCCTGTTACTTGTTTCCTGCCACCTGGAAGGGCCCATCTAACCCCTCCCCCAAGAACTCACAGAATTGTGGAAGGCCAGGAATCCCCAGATGCACAAGGCTCATACCAGAACATGAGACACACCATGGACCCAAAATGAGGAAGTTGGGCGGGGGGGCTTTCTCCTCAGTCTCTCTAACTTAGTCTGACCCACTTTGGGTCCGTGTAAATAGGCCTCCTCCCCTTGTGCCCAGTGCAAGCACCCTGTTAACATCTGTGTCCTTTAGGTCCCTTTCCAAGGACTCTCTACCTGCTTGACTGGTCAGAACCAGAGCCAGGGAGGCCAGGGAGTTGGGTGGATGGCAGGCTGGCGGAAAATGAGGAGGGAGAGACAGAGGTCTGTCACTCTCATCTGACAGAAGCAGCATGGGGTAGACCCCTCTGGCCCGGCTCCTTTAGTTTCCCATGGCTGGGCTCTTTCTCTCCCTCTGTAGTACTACTTTCCTCAAATTTCTCATGGAGCAAACCTAATACACTCTCTTTACCCAAAAAGATTGAGATTCAACTACATATTTCATTTCATCCTATGCCTGAAGTAAAAAATAGGGAGTCTAAGCTCCTTAGGAAGCGCTACAAAAACCCTTCACACCTGGTCATGTTCACAGCTCCCCGCTGCCCACCCCCATCCTCGTACTCCTGTGCTAAACTTGCTTTCTCCAGAACATGCCCTCTCATCTTCAAGTTTGTTCCTGATGTTCCCTCAGGGAGAATACTCCTAGGACGTCCTGGTGAATTCTAAGTCAACCTTTAAGACTCAAGGTGTGCTGTTCCTTGTACACCTTCAGTGAGGCAGCAGGGGCTGTGTCCTAATTGTCTTTGTATCTCCAGCCCTTCACATTTGGCCTGGCAAGGTAAGAGACTCCTAAACATGTACTCTTGTCCCCATTCCACTAAATTATCAGGGTCCAGAGGTATGGTCAGCACTTGGAACCCTGTGGGATGTCCTCAGGATGAGAATCTTCTTGCCCAGTCCTTTGCTGGGAAGCAGATGACATCTACTACCCCCGAGGGAATGCGTGGTCAAGGCTCCAGCCATTTCCACTGTTAAGTTTATTCAATCACTCAATAACATATACTAGGCCTGTTATGCTCTAAACATAAACATGATCCCCTAACAGGTGCTGGGGATCAAAGATGAAGAGAAATGAACTGAAGCAGGGCTCGGTGGCTCAGCCTGTAATCCCATGCCTTTGGGAGGCTGAGGTGAGTGGATTGCCTGAGCCCGCAGGTTCGAGACCCGCCTGGGCAGCGAGACCTCATCTCTACAATATAAATCAAAAAATCAGCCGGGCGTGGTAGCGCATGCCTGTAATTCCAGCTACTTGGAAGGCTGAGGCGGAAGGA